AAAAAGAAAACTGAAATTCATATATTTAGAAGAGATCGGATACAACCCATAAGGGTTTGCCCGTTCTCTGTACATAAACCCTTGTCAGGGTTGCACCACCTGTGTCCACGTTCCCGAAGGCACCCCTCTCTTTGCGACATGTCAAGCCTTGGATTGGTTGTAGGGCTTGCTTCTGTTCCAACTATTGTTGGTAGTTCATCCTTTAATATTCATACAAAATTGTTATGGTGTCCCGGTTTTCTAACAACTAACCTTCTTGAACCCTCCCCCCCCCCCCCTATTCGATGAAGATCAACTCCCCTGCTAATAGAAAAACAGATATAAGTAATAAATGAGCAAGTTTTCCCCTATTGTTTTATATGTTTTTCGATGAAGGTTTACCTCTTGTTTAATAAGAAGATAATAAAAGATTTTAAACTGTTGTGGTAGAAGAAGTCTTATTAGTCTAATATCTTACGTGATAAGATATAAGTAATAAATGAGCAAGTTATTTTTTAAATGACACCTAAAGGTCTTGGGTTCTATTTTACATTGATCAAATATTGCTTTATCTTTATACTAGTATGGGAACCGCGCGTTGCGCGGTAGCATGAGTACTTTGATTAATGATCTGGATATTGTCTATATAAATATATATTAGTTGTTAATAAAATCATCAACAAATAGTATTCAAATAATTCGAAAAGTTAAATAAAATATAAATATATACATACATGTATATATACCCATTGAAGCAAACTCCATGAATCAACACAAATGCACCAATCCATATTCCATCTCATCACCGCAAGGTTTTAAATTTTATAATATTCATAGTGTCACCTCATCACCCCAAGGTTTTACTTATATATATATATATATATATATATATATATATATAAAGATATAATAGTATAATAAATTTGCACTATAATTTCTACCATTTGGTTTGATTGGTTTCCAACTATGGTTATAAATTTCAAATAAGGTCATCCAAAGAAAGACAATTCAATGAGACAAACCCCATATTTGACACAAAGGCATCCAATCCACCTTTCTTATACACTTCATATTGTTCAAAATTTTCAATTCTACACCAATGTGAGATATCTCAAACTCAACCACAATTCACCAACATCTCAATTCTTATGATGTCACCTCAATACTCTTGGTTCTTCCTTTAATATATATATATATATATATATATATATATATTCAAATAATTCAAAAAGTTAAACAAAATATAAATATATACATATATATATATATATATATATAGAATTTCAATACTCTT